AATAAGCAAAGCAGGGTAGCAGGGAAGTGCTCCTGTAGCTATTTTACAGAGAATTAACTGAAGCACTTTAATGAATTTGCTCCAAAATTGACACACAAAGCCTACAGCAGAGGGGCAGAAGCCAGCTCTCCTGCATCCTAATCCAGTGCACTGTTTACAGAACCATCCTTCATAGCTGGCTGTAGTGGTTCAGTTGCTTGCCGAGGACAGAAGCCCTTGATGGCCACTGATTGAACTGAGTTCAACTTGTAAGAGAAAATCCAGAATTACTTCACTGTAGAAGTGATCAAAAGAGAGAGAAGCATCAGTCCTTAAATACTGCCAGTGTCCCAACTCCACACGTTTATAAAACAATCTTTTTAGCTAATGACCACCCAATAACCTTGTGTGAATTCTCACCACAGTTAGCAGAGGATCCCCATACCACTTGGACAGGAAAGCCACTAAACTTTGTACCTGGCAGTCCTAAGCAGCACAGCCCACCATAACCTCAAAGGGAGTCACCACCTTGGAGGGCAGATCCTATCACCATACTGCTGTGTCCCTTGGATGGAGCCACATTCTGGTATTCACAGCAGCCCACAGGGGCAGCACTGGACGCCTGCTGGCAGCACTGTAAAGCACTTTGATGTAGGAACAGGAGGGCATATATCCAGATGGGTACTGTTAGAGAACAGATTATGCCCCGTGAACAGGAGACTGCAGCACAATAACCTATTTAGCAGCAGCACACTAAAAGCTCAGTGTGGTAGTCTTCAGTGCTGCTGTATTTCCATGCTAGCAGCCTGAATGAAATCTAAGCGTATCAACTGATAAGCTTAAAACCACACAGAGAAGCATAATCACTGCACATGGCAACTAAGCACATTTTCTGTGCTTCTTGTAAAGAGCCTCCAAATCACTGCAGCATTAAGGTAACCTCCTTAATCCTACACACCAGTTTGGCAAACGCACCCATGCTATATCTTCCTTACTGCACAGTTTCACACTGAATAATCTTTCAAAAGCTATTAATCATCTTTCATTAGCTCTAAATTGCTTTTTGCTTGCTTGCAATTAAAGACTAATATCCAAAGAGTTAGAAATTTATAAGGTAATTAACCATAATGAGTAACACTTCTATAATATGATCAACTGCTGGGTATCAACAGAAGTCATCGTTTTACCCAAGTAAACTTTTTTTTCCCCCCGTGTGTTTATACAAGCTTAAAAATGAAGATTTCTTCTGCAGAGGCTGAACTTTCACCAGATAATACCATATGTGCCTATTCCTTCTCTGGAAGGCAGCTAGCAGCAGACAAAAATATCTGCAAACTAGCAATTACTGTGGATTCAGGAGGTTTTAAGGTGACACTGACATGATGAAAGATCTATTTTTATGTGTGTGAAGTATATTTCAAGTTCAGAAGGAGGGACACAGAGAGAAAGAGAGCACTCACATGCTGTAATGAGCTCACATACAGGACAAGATCCTGCTTAGCATTTGTACATATCACCATGTAAAATACATTTCAATTCCTTGGTCTTCCAAACGATTAAGTGTTGGTCAAGCAATGCTAAAAACCTTTTGAGTAGGTCAATAGCATATTAAATATTGTCCCAGGTTACAATATCAAACCAAATTAGTGAGCTGGGTCCGCAGTTATAAACAGTATATGAGATTCTTTTTCAGTCACTCCAGCATAATACAAAAAGCTTTAGCTACTTTAATGACACCAATTTTTCCTATGAAAAATCGCTCACTATTTCCCATATTTATTTCCCTACACGTGGCATCCAACGCACACAAGTGCAACCCACTCACTACAGTCTAAAATTTGTCAGTGAAAACCCCACTTAGGGGTTCCTCAGGTAGATCTTACCCACACAGTAAACTGCAGGTCAAAACTCACAAGAGGCTGGAAACTGATCCTCTTGCTGTGTGTTAACAAGCTTTAGTCTAAAAAGCTGGGAACTCAAGCTTCAGTCTGTAGAGTGCTCAGAAACCCTTCTTGATAAGAAAGCAGGGTGCACATCCCCAGAACATAACTGAGAATTTGTGCAATCAGTATTTCCATGCTTTCTGCTTCCTGCAGAGCCATGAGAGGAGCTGTACTGGTCCCATAGAGTCATTAGCAGAACCACTAGCATCCAAGTTTCCTTCAGCAGCAACCACAGAATAGCAAAACATGAGGAAAATAGTCTAATCTATGCCTTCAAGCCCCATTTGGGTTTGTTTCCTCCCAATTCAGAGCAGAGGGGGGCAGTCAGGCAGTTTTAACCTGTTGTGCCAGCACAGCAATCAGATGAGGACTCTCCAGACCTCGTGTAGGCCCCCTTTAGCTACTGGAAGCTGCTCTGAAGACACCCCAGAGCCTTCTCTTCTCCAGTCAGCAGTTGGCCACTGCAGGCATGGGTTTGCCAGGAAACACCACCCTCAAGCTGGGGCAAATCTACACTGCCAAACAGAGATGAATAGATAAGTTTTATCCCCACTTGCTAATGCACATCTCTTAATACCATTTTAATTCAAGGATTTAGGGAAAAAAGATGTCATTCCTTACCTGCGTGGCAGCAATGGAAGCTGGATGGCCCTGCAGCCCATGCTCGGCTCGCTCAGAGTTTGACTCCACGGAGGCCTGTGAGTGTCCCAGGGGTTTTTTGTCTTCATCTGCAGCACTGAGCACAGCCCCTTGTCAGGGCTCCCCTTTGGGCTCGGTTCTCACCCGCTGCTCTCACACCTCCAGGGAATCACTTGTGTCCTGGTACTCTCTGGCTCCATCGCCCATCACAAGCTCGGAGCGGGAGCGAGCTCTGCTCTCCCCTTGGCTCCATTTCCCGGGTGTTCTGGCTTGTGCACAGCAGCCTGTGCTTGGAAGGTGTTGATGCTTGTGAGCATCAGCTCTGAAGCAGAGTAAAAAAAGCAACCAACCCAAAACTAAATCCCGTAACAGAAAATAACATAGAATAACCTAAAAAATAAGATAACATAAGATAAAATGTAAGAAATCAAACCAAAATCAATTGGAATCATAAAATAAAATCCTGTTTCCACTTATAAGCTTTGTGATTTGTGTCCTTGAAAGTGTTTCTGGAGCTGGAAACCCCTGGCATTGCAGGGGAATAACAGTGCCATTGTTCATTGTTATTCAGCTTAGGGTGAGCATGGGGAATGGAATGGAATGGCATGGAATGGGATGGGATGGGATGGAGTGAAGTGAGATGGAATGGAATGGCACGGAATGGAATAAAGAGTCATAGAATGGAACAGAATGGAATGGGATGGGATGGAATGTACTAAACTAGACTAGCCATGGAATGGGTTATGCTGGGTGACACCTACAACTCTGCATGACAAGTGGTGCCCTAGGTCTAAGGGGTCCACCCAGGAGAGCAGCTCTCTGCAGGTCCCAGACCCATCCAGGAGACAGGCACAGGCTCAGCTACAACACAGCTCGGGCAGGGACTGAACGCCCCATGCTGAGCTGAGACACATCCCCTGGGGACTTGGCAGGAGGCGGTGGGATAGGGATCCCAGTGGACATGGGTCCCAGCCACTGAGGCTTTTGAGCACCCCCAGGACCCCGGCAGAAGTAGACCTGCTCTGCTCATAGGGTCTCCTTTAGACATTGATGGTTGGCCTCTTTGGAGACCAAGTATTGGGCATATGGACTTTCTCTCTGGTGCAGTACTGTTCTTAGGCTCTTGTGTCTCAGTATGTTTTCCCAAGGGGCACAGCTCAGGCATTTCTAAAAATGAGTCTGAGGAAATAAAAACAAATCCACAGGGAACTGCTCACCTCAAAAAGATTTTCAACCATTTGGTGGAGGAGCATGTCCTGCTTCAGACTGAGGCTTCCAGCCTCACTAGTGCTAGAGATGTGGAAATACAGCGTGACTGGATGAACACAGAAGACTTCCATGGTATCATATCATGTTCTACTCTGGGACCGCTCAGGAGATTTAGATTAGATGTTAGGAAGAGATTCTTCCCTGTGAGGGTAATGGGACACTGGCACAGGATGCCCAGAGAAGCTGTGGCTGCCCCATCCCTGGCAGTGTTCAAGGCCACGTTGGACACAGGGGCTTGGGGCAATGTGGTCTGGTGGGGGTTGTACCTGCCTGTGGAGGGTGGTGAGTGGTTGGTGCTGGATGATGTCTAAGGTTCTTTCCAACCCAAACCATTCTATGATTCTATGGTTCTATGTGTAATATTTCAGTTAGATAATAAGTCAACCATTTGAAGCTTTAAAATATATCCATCTGTTTCATTTTAGAGCTGCCTAAAATGAATCTTTCCACGTGGAATTGTTTCTTCTCCTGTTTGTACTGCAATGTGTCAAGTTTCTGTTTTCTCTTGAAAACTATATCCCAGTGTAGAAAGCCCATGCTTATCTATACACAAGAGAGGACTCATGCTGATTGGGAGAGTTTATAGAGAGAAAAGAAGCATTATGCCTGCTTCCTGTGGATTAAAGTTTTCAACAGCCATTACATTGCTTAGTGGAGTAGAGATCACCTAAATGCAGTGTTAGTACTTACTTCAGGGTGAGTTTAACCGGTTTCAAAACTTGACTGCAACCCATCCAGAGTAAGTATTTAGCAGGAGGGTTGGCTCTGCAGCCCAGGGGCTGCACTGATGCCGTTCTCCTGCTTGAGGAACAAGTCTGGTTCCCTGTGCAGTGACATGCAGCACCCCACAGGGCAGTGTCATCTCAGGCAATACATAATGCTTCTCTCCCCTGGCACTCAAACATACCATTCCCAACAGCATGACCAAGGAGAAAAAGGAGGCCCCTATTCTGGAGGCAGAGCACCCCACGTATTGCTAGCCAGGAAAACCTGTCTGGATCCAAAATACTTTCTAATGACAAGTCAAGTCTTGTAAGTTTGGGGTCCATAGTCTTTTAGAATGACAAAAATCAAGAGCTGCAAATTGGAGACTAAGGATGTACTTTCTGAATGTTTTTTCCTTTTCCAACAGGTAACTGCTACTGGCAAAGATCACCTTTAAAAGAGAACATGGATTTAATAAACTCAACTGAACAAAATGGTACATCAGAAGAACTATTTAAATGGGTGACATCCAAGATTCTCATTTCCATTACCCTGTCTGTGCTTGCACTAATGACAACGGCCATCAATTCTCTTGTGATGACTGCAATAATTGTGACAAGAAAGCTCCACCACCCTGCCAACTATCTAATCTGCTCTCTTGCAGTGACTGATTTCCTTGTGGCAGTCCTAGTAATGCCCTTCAGCATCGTCTACATTGTAAAGGAGACCTGGATCATGGGACAAGTGGTGTGTGACATTTGGCTGAGCGTGGACATTACATGCTGCACATGTTCCATCTTGCATCTCTCTGCCATTGCTTTGGACCGGTACAGAGCGATCACGGATGCTGTGGAATACGCACGGAAAAGGACACCTAAACATGCTGGCATCATGATCGCAGTGGTATGGGTCATATCCATTTTTATCTCCATGCCACCTCTGTTTTGGCGGCACCAGACAACCAGCAGGGATGACGAATGCATCATCAAACACGACCACATTGTTTTCACCATTTACTCTACATTTGGCGCCTTCTATATCCCACTGGCCTTGATTCTGATCCTTTATTACAAGATATACAAGGCAGCAAAGACATTTCACAGAAGAAGCATCAGCCGGATCGTAAGGGAGGAGGTAAATGGACAAGTGCTCTTGGACGCAGCTGAAAGAAGCACCAAATCAGCTTCAATGCCCAGCACAGCTGAGAAGACATCAGATCCCCTGGTGAACTGCGAGAAAATCAATATCACCATACGAAGCCCCAGGTCTGAATCTAAGCATGAGAAGTCTTGGAAAAAACAAAGAATCTCTAGCACAAGAGAGCGAAAGGCAGCAACCACGCTGGGTCTGATCTTGGGGGCATTTGTGATCTGCTGGCTCCCTTTCTTTGTAAAAGAAGTAGTTGTTAATACCTGTGAAAGATGTCACATCTCAGAAGACATGTCTAATTTCCTAGCATGGCTGGGATACATAAATTCCCTTATTAACCCTCTAATCTACACAATCTTTAATGAAGATTTCAAGAAAGCCTTCCAGAAGCTTGTGCGGTGTAGGCAATATCTTTAAGAGCTTTTGCTCATATAAGGAGAACATACTCATTGGTTTTTTAACCTGTATAAATTTATATAACTGAGATGATATTTGTTGTGTTTAAGGAAAAGCACCGAGACTCTGCATTTACATTATGACTTTTTTGTATCAGTAGTACTGGAAGCATAAATTGCCCGAGTTTTAAGAGATGGATCATCTGCAATCAGTTTTGCTCTGGAAAAAGAGGTAGCATATTGTGGCTCTAATCCAGCTGGGATTTGCACAGCTGCCTAGCTTGAAGCCTAAGATATTACCTTAAATATGAAGGAAATATACACTTGAAGTAGACAAAGAAACAAAGTTTAAAAAAGAAAACACACCCTGATCACAAATAAGATAGAAAATACACTCTGGAATTAAGACGTGATTTCATTAGTTTGGCACAGGCCTGCAGCATAGAGCCAAGCCTTTCCCAGAGAAGCGTAGTGACTTTAAACATATCTAGCACCATCTTATGTTGATTAGCTGAGTGCAGCTGCAGCCCTGCCTTCTCCCACAGATGAAGGACTTGCACCCCAGCAGCAGGTGAGGTGCTTTCATGGGTTACCAGCCAGTGTTATGAGCCCTCTGCCACTGTGTGCCCACAACAGGCATGGGCACAAGCCCAAAGAAAACAGCCAGAGAGCTGGGGCACCTCCAGTGAGCTTGGTACACATAGTGCCTGGTGCTCTGAGAAGCCACTGCAGCGGGGTCTAGGGAGGGTAAGCTCATAAAGACCACCTGGTTCTCCTTATGGAGATGTTAGAAGGCAGAGAAGCATGAAACACGTCTTTCTTCGTGTCCTCACCCCTACCTCACACACCTCACCAGGCATGGCTCCTGTGACTTTCAGCACCAAACCCAGCCACACAGTTTGAGCAGGGGCCCCCAAGAGCATTGCTGACAGTGGGAGGCTTAGTGAGGTTTGGTTGAGTGTCACCTAATGAAGAACTTGGGCTAACAGCTTCAGCTCAGCATGTTCAGCCCCCCGATGGGCCAGAAGCACGGTGTCCCCCAATTCTTTACTCAGCTGCCTCAAGCAGTAGGGCTGAGCACCCTCTTTCCAAGCCTGTGAGAAAGCAGGTACCAACCACGGTGCTGGCAGCATGGGTCCCTGGAAGAGGTTGTGCAGCCGCTTCTGCAGTAAGGGCATGGGGAGTGACTTCAGTATGCAGTGCCCACCTAGGCAGGGGATCCTGTGGGATGCTCACTGGCTGGCACCTCCTTCCCCAGAGCATCTAGTCCATGTCCCCAGTCCCAGCAGAGCAAAAAGGACTTTGCAGGCACTCCAGCCAGCCCTGACCAGCTTGGTTCAATCAAAGGTAACCACGATGAACAAATCCCTTTGATTTGATCTCTTTGAGGCCATCTAAGGCCTCAAAATGGCTCTGTGACCAGCTTTGATTTACATGCCCTAGGTGCGAAGCCACAGTGCTTTTGAGTGCAAGAACAGCCCTTGCCTCAAAACCAGCAATGCAAGTTCACCATCAGCTAAGGGTACCAACAGGGTAGTGGGCATTTACTCCTGCGTGCAGGTGAGCTGCTAAAAGCCACACCAGACCCCAAGGACAGGTTTTGCACTTTTCAGGAAAAGCAGACCTAGGCTGTGTCAGCAAGACTCCAGTTTTGGATTCATTGCCAGCCATTCAGTGCTTTCTAGCAGGAATAGGGGCTTGAAGCTCCTTACAGGAACTACAAACCCTGCTGGCAGCAGCAGCAGTCTCCAGCAAAAGCAGTGATTTGGCACCTGGGCCAGCAGCTTAAGGACATCACAAAGAAGCTGAGACAGAAGGCCACTATGCGCTCCTTAGTTCTGGAAAGGTATTACCCACTGATCTTTGTAGTTGTTCTTCCAAGAGAGTTCCAGTAGTTTGCATTAGACAAGAAAACCCAGAAAGAAACCATCACTGTCATTTCTCTCTCCCCCCTCCCCATCCCTTCCCTGTATTACAAACTCCGCAGTTTAATAATCTTCATATTTTGCCCAATAGCTACCAGCTGACACAACAGCTGTCAGAGGTGTTTCTTGCAAGATGACAAGGTTTGAAACCTGAAATATTGAACTAATTTGTTTCTGTCACTTGCAACTTACTGTATTCTGCTTTTACATCGAGGTCTAAATGAGATGTTATTCACAAGTACTAGAAACAGTGCATTTGCTTTATTGTTGATTTTAACCCAGCCAGGAATCTAATGGAAAGCTCACTTGTCATGCCGCGTAGCTCTAGCACAGCAGTAGCACAGCTATTAAGATGTGACAGAATGGAATTTGGCTGATGCTCAGTGCAAGCTAGCCCACTTTACAACCATTGCAGTGAGAGCACAGGCTCTGCAGCCCCCGTGACCTTGGCAATGGCTGCATTATGCGGAAAGAAAAAACTGCTTTAAACATCAGCTGTGTTCTGCTGTCTCCAGAAAGGGCCATAGAATTCAGCTTTCTAAAAGGATTAGCAAAGTAGCAGAAGGCAGCAAAGAAAACCCCACTGAAACATCTAAGATTGAAGACCTGTTTCTCACGTTTCCCGAGTACTCAGTCGTAACACTGGATGTCGAGGGGAAGGACCTCCTCTCCCCCTGCTTCTCCCTTTATGACTGCAGAAGCGTAGAGTATATTGTTTATCCTCTTACACGTAAGAAGTCTGACAATGTCTTGTGAAATCAAATTGGAAGAAAAAAACGGGTTGCTTTTGAGGAGAAATGATACTTAAAATACTCCTATTTAAATAATAATGGATAAAGCTCCAAGAATGGAACGATATGTAGATAAACAGAAAATAGCTGTCATTTATGCACTCTTAACAGTATTATACTCTGAATCTAATTAAGCTGCTAAACATTTCTCAAGATGCAGGGTGGTTTCTTTTGTATCATTTTCACTGAGCTGTATCTGGTCACCCTTCAACATCCCAGTGGTGGAAGATGCAACCACAAGAAATCTAAAAAATGAGCAGGTAGTTATCCCATTAAAAGCACTTGTGGCTTGTGGACCATCATTTCTTGGTGTGTGACTGCAACTCATCACTCGTTCTCTAACAGGCTCCATTGTGCCAAACACTGCAACACAACCCCACACAGTGTTTAGCCACGTTATGTGATGTGTTAGGAGAAAAAGTGAGTTCCTCTTTCAAAATCCATAAAGGTTAAGATTTCTGTGGGATTCTGCTTTGCCCTCCCCATTAAGTACACAGGTATCCACTGGAGCTTAGCACTGGATTCAAGGAGCAAGAGGAAGCACGATTTTACACACTGGAGCTAAGATTTTTTGCAAGTAGCTCCATGCCATATCTCAGCAAATAGGAAAAAAATATGGCCCTTTTCCTCTCTCTCTCTCAGCAGACTCTGTGAATGTATTGCAGGGAAAGGTTTACAGTTCCTCTAGGGTTTGCACAGAGCTTCCTGGATCCCTGTCCCTGCTGCAGCTGCTTTCCCTGTTGCTTGTTGCTGCCCACCCGTCCGCCCATCAGTTTAGATTCCTTCTAAAACCCAGAGAGCTGGCTTTGGAGCAGCTGACCTGCTCCCACTTCAGCTTTCACAGAGAATGATTCCTGAAGCAGCTGCAAATATTATATCCAGTTCAGGTGGATGGATTTTGCTAACAGCAGTTAAATACACCTCATTATCCTGTACTCATTTCTTTATCTTTCCTCCCCACCAGGTGCTTTATCAGTGTCCTTTCCTCTTGAGGATGGTGTATCCCTACAAAGGTCTTGGGAATACAAATACGCTTTTGTATTAGTGATGCAGTCACACTTGTGAACGCATGACTGTACCACCCAGAAACACCCACCTCATCCAAATGTGGATTTGGCAGTCACCGTCTTCAGCTGGTGCCTAATTGTTCTTGGTGCTAGGGAGGTACACAGAAATAACTATGTGCCAAATTATTTTCTCCAGCAGTTAACAAACTCAACACATTATTTCTAGGCAAGTACACATTACTGTTTGGCCTTTACATTTCAGATTCCCTTGCAGAAAAGAAACAGGCTTTTTGGAACTCTACAGACCAAAGAGTAAATGCTACAAGAAAAGTGACAGAAAACTCTTGGAGCACCCCTGTAAGGATTAAGGATAAACCAAACACCGTGTCTCATGTAGAAACAAGAGCTGCCCCAGTGTATGGACAGCTCTTCTCAGGCAGAGAACTAAAGGGTCAGCAGCCACTGGGTCACAGCAGGCACTTACAAGCACTCCCACACACAAGCAAGGAGTAAATGGCATCTGCTGGTTGCTCTCATATTCCTCCTCCAAAAAGTGCTGCTGCGCTACAGGGACAGTACTACCAACAGCAAGACTGCTACAGATTACAGCAAGATGTTGCTGTCTCCTCCCCTGCAGAATCCTGAAGTGAATTCAACAGATTGGGTTTTGGGGGGGGGGGGGGATCCAGGGTTTTTCATTTGGGTGGAACTTCTTACCTTCCTCCTCAACCAGGCAAGCTAAACCTCTAGAAGAAACGTAACCATTTCTTTGGTCTGGTGTTTCTATCCATCATTTAGTAACTGAAGAAATGAAAGCCTTGATGATACCAAGCTTGGCTTAGAAGGAATTTTACAGAGAACAGAGCAAACAGAAATCAGTAGCATTGGCATGAACAGTCAAGGTTACCAACTGAATTCAAACTAGCCTTTCCAGTGTCAAATCCCTCACTTATAACAGGCATCAATGACTGAAAACAACCTTACATCCTCAGCAACTTACTGAAGTATGAGTTTCCAAAATACCAAAATTGTTTATTTCTTGTTCAAGTGAGTCACTTCTTAAGTAAGAACTTTGCAACTCAGGAAAATTTCAGAGGGAAATATTTCTAGGCAAGGAAAAAGCACCAGGTTTCATTAGTCAAACTACATTAGTACAATTATGTATTAATGTTCTTGGTTCAGACTAAAGTCAAAGAAAATGCTTATTGAAAGCTATTGTGTTGTACCCACTAATAGCTCAAATCAATTGTATTCACTCTTTAAGGCATATGTTTACTGAAACTATAGTTTTGAAGGTTG